AAAAACAAAATGTCTATTTTAATTCTGTGAACTAGAGTGACGACGAGTGGCGGGCGATAACCACCACCACCATCCTTAAAACACTTACTTATGTTGTTCTTTATCTTCTTCTCTGCTCCTTTTCTTTTGACGTGGCATGTTTCTACTTACGTCAAGGTTTTACTTAATACTAAGTTAAACAATATTAAATGAGACAGTAATATTCAATGAGAATTATGAAATATAGGCGGATTTATTTATCCTCTCAAAAAGGTTGACACTGCCTAAAATTCTTAATATTAATTATGAAATTATAAAAACGTGTAATTCAAATTTATTTTCGTTTAAATAAAAGTTTTGTGATACAATCGACGCGTACACATCAATTATCTATCTTATTGGTTATTTTTTTTGGTAGGACAGGCGTGAATTGATTTTTTTTTTCTTGGAAAAACAATTTATTTTTTGACAGAGTCCAAGATGACAAAACATGAATGTTGTCGTTTGGTTTGGTTTGAATCTCCTAAAGAAAAGGTGTTAATAACTAACCAGAGGTACTTTTTTTTACTTGTATTGATATTTTTATTTTGGTTTATAAACATTTTAATTGGAATCAAAACGCTGTGCAGATCTTGCTGGGTAATTACAAGATTTTCATTGATAATATTTGGCTTTTCGTAATCAATAATATTAATATTATTATATTATTATAATTACAAGATGTCAAGGCAGCGCACGGTTGAATATGAAACATTTCAAATATGAAACATTTTGATATGCAATGTTTGATTATCGGAAATTGGCAAGTGTTGAAGCACACAAACTACCTTGAACACTTTACAGTCATTCTCTCACATTTCTCGTGTACATAAGGCTAATCTGACCACGGTGCTCCCGATGATATGATGATGCAACTGAATTTTCAGGGGGGGGCGCAAAGCCCTGGAGTTTACCAAGACTGCACCAATTGTCAATGATGCTTCACTAATCTTCCCTCATCAGAGATGGCTGCTGGCATGCTAGCCGAAAAGTCAACTGCAACAATCCCACCTCTAGGTAAGGATGGCTCTGTGACCAAGTCGCAACTCTGCTGATGAATTGTAGTGCCATGTAAATATCTAGATTCATCAAAACAACGAGAATCTGCAGCTCGTTCAAGCTCAGGAGGTCATAATTCAGAGCAGGGTTGGTGGCCCTGAAATTGCATTTGGACCCTGATATTAAGAGGAAAGTTGTAAAATAGTGTTTGTTTTATATAATCATTTTTGTAAATGCTCTGTTTTTTGACACTAACCAATTTATAATTTTGGGTAGGGGACTAGATTGGGTTTTTGCCCAATCAGTTCTCTGTCCTGTAGGTTAAAATTATCGCATGATTTGATCATAAGTTTCGCTTTAGCGGATCTCTCGTAAGCATAAAAAAATTTGTGTACATATGATCAAATTCATAAAGTTACAAATTATGGAAATAAATAGTTCTTTGAATTAATCTTCCTATTTTTTTTTATCTTCTCAATATTCACATGCTTTCTCAAAATTAAAGTTTCAATTTCAGGTCCATTTAATAAAATCATTAAATGATTATTTAATGTATCAAGATTTATTTTGTTCCTTAATTTATTCTTTAATCAACTTTGTTTGGGAAAATATTCTTTCTACATTAGCATTTGAAAGAGGTATAATAAGAGTTATTTTAATTAGGAGGGATATTAAAAGTCTTCATCTGTGTCAAAAATGAATTTACAAAACATTTTTATTTGGTACTACGCAACACTGCTGGTGAAATTGAGTAGTTACGGCTGGTGTAACTGGTGAAACTATTCCACCAATGGTGTAACTCAAAGGAACTCAAATAAAATCATGTTAAAATTTCAAACAATTTATTTAATTATTTTCCAAATCATCTTGGTTCATAATATTTTCTACTAGAACACTTGGATCATAAGACATATTTCCTAGATTTATATTTCTTAAACTTTTTGATTGTTCATTAATAAATATTATTAAAATCACTTTCATCAAAAAAATTATTAATAATTGATGAATCAAATATATTATTCCTTATTTCATTAATATTCAACTCTTTACCATAATATTTTAATTCTTTATCAAGGTTAGAAATATATAATATGAATGAATATTACACATTGCTTTAACTTTGTAAATATTTAATTTGGTTAAATAATCTCCATAAATCCACTTTAATGTAGAGAAGTTACGTTCACAAACTGATTGAGATGGAGATATTGCATAAAGATGTAAGGCTAATTCTTGCAATTGGTCATTGTTTTTATCTGTATTAATGCTTAACTACCACATAGTTGGATTTATCATAGGACAAATGGTATCATTTCAATACCAATTATTTAACAAACGTGGCTAATTATGGCTTAACGTTGGGATATTATTGTCAGTTAATTGCAATAATATTCGGTGCTTACCAATTAATTAATTAGTTACAGTAAAAAGAATGTTCACTTTATTAACATTAAAGAATTTTTTTTTAAATTTTCAGATTTTTTTTTCTTATGTACTAACATTAATTTAGTATGATTTTCATTTCACCAGTTGCAACAAAACCGATTGACGAATGGTGAAATGTCGAAACTGGCGAATAGGTTCCACCTGCAACCTTAAGGATGACCCTATAAATTGGATGTTATTAAAATAAATAATTATGGAATTATTTATTTATGATAGCACTCTTTACATAGAAGAAAAGAAAAGGTCAATATAAGGCAAGGGACTTTTATGAGTTGAGACATGCGTGGATAATATGTAAAGAATTTAAAATTTTTTTTAAAAAATGATTTTTGAAATCCATAATACAATTTTTTAAATAATATGTTGTATTCGAAGAACCCTGCTCTTGATTATTTCATTATTTCCAATCAAATATTTTGTTGAGAAGAACACCGAATTGGTAATGCAGTAATGATGCATGACAAACTTTTGACTTAGTCATTGACGTGACGAAAGTACTAATTAAAAATAGTTACTCGCCAATGACTATTTTGACGATTTGACGAAATTGATGAAAAAATTAAATTTTTTGTTTTATAATAAAATATATATATAAAAGATCCCCTCCCCCTTAATTATATAGAATGAATATTTTGAGTCTACAAAAACAACCGTAATAATAATATTAATGATAAACTATTATAATAACAACATTCAAATTACAATCACCGTGCTAGAAACTTCCGCCTTCTCTTTATATCCAATAGTAAGTTTATGAGATAATATTGCTTAAGGCAAGGAGAATTATCTTCTTCCTAACCTTCTTTACCTTCATTGTCTTAACCTTTTTTCCTAGGATTGATTTTTTGTAGGTAGAAGTTCTTGATAGTGGAAGCAGCAATTTTCCTTGGGTAATTCATAGATTTCAATTACCAATTTTGCCAAATAAATCTGAATCCTGCTCAACATTTTTTCAATAGTGTTTAAAATCCTTCCACAGATTTCTTCTGTTCACCAATTGGCTTACTTGATGTTTCTTTTTATCAAATTAATTATTTTGGTTGAGATGAGGCAAAAGGCTAAAAGATAGTCCAATAAACAATCAATAACATGTGGATAAGATAATTATAGTTTTTTCTAATGTTAGTAATAAAGATTTTGAATTTTTATATTTAATTATATTTATATTAATATTAATAAAAAACTTTTTTATTGTTATTTATTTGAATTATTCTATTCCTATTTATAATTTTTTTGCTCTCATACTTGAGAACAAAAAAATGTTAAACATGAAAGAACTTTCTTGAGGTCTGCACTATTTGGATCTAAAATTTCATCTGATAATCTATGAAAGAAGAATGGCCTGACTAAATTAATCCAACCAATCAATTGATGACATTTTAGCAATGAACAAAAAAATAAGATCTGGGTTTTACACTGAATTGACATATAATAATAATGATGTAATTATTATTATTTTTTATTATTCATAATGTAAATTTGTTCATTATGAAAAGTGATCAAAAAACAACTTATATTATATAATCAAGCCAATACCATCATCATCATCAATAATTTTAATACTAAAATTGAGGTTTTTGATACTCATCCAAAAAATAAGTTTTTCGGTTTTCATGTAGAAAACTTTTGAATAAAATATCAATTAGTAAAATAAATACATCCTAAATATAAATAAAAATATATATTATTTGAAAAATAAAAAACTTACTTTAAGAAATCAATTAGGTGATCTTTTATTGTTGTCAATGTATCTTCTTCTACATTAGAACTTGATATTAAAGCTGGAATATATACTAGATATATAGTATATATTTTTTTTATCCCCAAAAAATAATGATTTATTAAGAATCGTTATTTTTTTTTCCAAAAAATCACCAAAAAACTTTTTATTGTTTATTTACCAAATAACCTTAAAAAATGTTCAGCTCCATATAATTGTGAACTTTCCAATTTATCAAATTTACTTTTCAAATCTCTATATTGTTGTCTCTCTAATTGATATAGTAATCTGGTTCCCAGACATTTATTAAAATAATAAAGTATTCCATTTATAATTTCTTCTGTTGATCCATCATTAAACAAACTATTTATATATATATATATATATATATTTAATAATTATATTGATTTGATTGATTTTTGATTTATCTATCATTTACCTATTATGTTGGCTATATTTTTTTTTTTGATACAATTTATAATGATCAATTATATCTACCACTGATGGTTTACGTGGTAATCGTACGACCTACATATACAATTAAACGTAAAGATGTATAGATATATTTTTATATTATTTATTATATTGTAATCCTTACTAATTGTGATGTATTAATATTTTCCCAATCTTGAACTAATATGGATTTTAGCATTTCAGGTATTGGAATTGCTATTATAGGTTTCTTGAGAATTTCATCCTAAAGACAATATAATATATTCATTCAATTAATGATTAATCATTATTATTAATAAAGTTTAAATAAGAGTTACTTTATCAATCGATTGTTCTCTTCTTCTCTTCTTTCCTTTTTCTGTGGTTGTTGTTGTTGTTGCAATATTTGATGACGCTGCAGTTGCTGCTGTATCAATATTCATTCGTCTACCTGTTGATGCTTTATTTTTTTTATTAAATGATTCTTCGATTTGTTTTCGTTTTGATAAATTAGTTTCATTAAATTTTAAAACTCTGGGTTCTGGAACCCATTCATCCCAGCTATTTTTTATTTTTTATTATGTTATTTGGATTTTTTTTTTGTGCAAAAATTTAAAAATTTAAAAAATTTTCTTACGTGTGCTTCCAACCTTTATAATGTATTAAATAATGTGGTCCGGAAACATCTGATTTTGGGTGTTTTTGATCCAAATAATCTACATCTAGCACCTTATTATTTTTTTATTTTTATTTTAATTAGAGAGGAATAATTAACAAAAAATTATTATAAACAGTATATAACATAAATACTTTAGCTTCATAAATCATTGGTCCATGATAACAAAGAATTCGTTCGCCTTTTTGATACAAAAATTGTTGTGACATTTATATATTTTTATATATGTGATATATTATACTTTTATTAATTAATTATTTATTTATTTTATATCAAGTTAAATTGAATTTTTATTGATGAAAGGAAGAAGGGTCGAAAAAAAAAAGGTTTTTACCATTGTTTTAGCGAAAGAAATAAATCGAAATAAATTAGCGTCTTTTTTAATTAAAAATATGTTGATCATGGTTAAATAGTTTCCTTTTTCGTAAAATTTATGTCTTACAAAATGAAATGATTACGATTGTTCCTAAACTAACAAGTGACAAAATAAATTGGTATTATTAGTATTTTTCATTTCCACACAATATTAAAATCAAATAAGATCAAAGATTGAGTGAGTTAAAAACTAACCTATTACACTTTACAGAACTGATAAATCAGAACTGTCCATGTACACATTCAGTTAAGTATATATACATTGCGACCATTGCTTCTAGGAAATCCACACAAGGTCTGTAAGTTAATAACATAAATTATGACCTAAAAAATTGTGAAGACCATTCCCTCCATTTTTACACATAATGACAAGTTTGTAATAACAAATGGTCATATATCTGAATAAGTTATTATATTAAATGTATTAAAAGTCGTATTTTTGTTTCAAATGATCAACACATTTTGCCATATGATAATGTTTAATATATAAAGTATCTCTTATCTTTTTCACTAATTCTTTTTTTTCTTTTGTAATCTATATAGTTGTGTTGTGCGTGAAAATGAAATCTATGTGAATTTGCAATTCACGTACGTGAAATTCAAATTAGCCAATCAGAATTTCATATCCAAACGCCCCACTCCAAAATTTCAATTATAAATTTCGATTTCATTTCACATACAGTTGCAAATCCACCTTAAACAATTTTGTTAAATGCTTATCACACTTAGTTGCTTTAAATTTACTTTTAATCAACTCATCTAATGTTTCATACCATTTGTCCATCCTTCGGTTATTAATAGCTAGATTTAGACCACATTATTCCAATTACAAGTTCCGTGTTTTACACTTCTTTCCTTTGAATATTCATCATCATCTTAACCCCAATGATTCTTTTTATTTAAACTTCTTTTTTTAGTAATTTTTCTAAATTTGTACTAGTTACACAATAATATCACATGATCGAATCACCATCATAATAAAAAACGTTTGGAATAAAAAATGCACAATAACAAACTATTTGAAACATTCAAGCAAGGCTAGTAAAATATGGTTCTATTTGTTTTATTATAAATCCGTTATTTTGTTTGATCTGATGTTATTTTTAAAACCTCATTATGCTATAATTAGTCGAATTAATGAATTAGTTTATTTGTTTTATTTATTAGGAAATTAAACAAATACAAAATTCAAGGATCGGCTCCTCTGGCCGTGCGTTTAATATTAATATTACACGGGGCCCACAAAGGATTCAAACTTTAAGCTTTCAATTACATAATAATTAAAACTACAACTATATAGAGAAGGAATGAATTGAGTACAAAGAATGTCTTTAAAACCGAGATGTATTTCAATCGAAACATAATGCAAGCAATAAAAAAAGTTTACATAAGAATTAATCATCTGTGAATTGTGAATGCAAATATGGAAATAAAAGTCTTTTTTTTTTTGTATTTAACCCGTTAATTTTTTTGGTTTTTTAATTTTTTAGTTTTGTAAAAATTTTTAAACAAAATTAAATTTTTCTTATTGAATAAGAAAAATCGCATTCTTTAAAAATTATTATATATATACTGGTATATATATAATATAAAAAAAAAATTACAAACTCTTCCTGTCTTTAACCTTTTTATAAATCAATAATCATGCGAAATATATTTAAAAAAAATAATGATATAGAATCAAATACACCAGAAAAAACAAAAAAACCCTCCTTTTTCTCCAAATTAATGTTAAAAATAAAAAGTTTTAATACATGGTTTGATAAAAAATTTCCCAGGATTGCTAAATACAAGATAATAATAATAATATTTTTGATTTTATTATTGATTGGTTTATTTATTATTATTATTATTGCTGCTGTCGGTGGATTTTCTTCTTCTTCTGGAGACGATACTGGTAAATCCGGCAGTCAGTTAAGTGGAAAAGGCAAAGGAACTTTTTATTGTAAGTTTTATTTTTAATTAAAAAAATAATGTTATTTTGTCAATTCATCGATTAATTTATTTTTTTAATAAATAAAAAAGATCCGAATGCTGGAATTAGTGCATGTGGACAGCAACATCACGATAACGAATTAATTGGATCAATGGTAAATAGTAATAGTATTTTGTTTCCTTTTAAAAAAATTTGGTATATAATAATAATAATGTTTTTTTTATAAAAACTTTAGAATAAAGAACAATATGGTAAATTTGCTAATTCTGATGAATCACCAGTGTGTGGCATATGTATAAAAGTCACAGGACCAAAAGGAAGTGTTAAAGTGAAAATAGTTGACATGGTATTTTTATTTATTTATTTATTTTATTTTTTAAAAAAACAATCATGGTCAATTAATTAATTAATAATTTAATGTCTTGCAATATCAGTGTGCTGGATGTAAAAAAGGCGACATTGAGTTATCACCTAGAGCATTCAAAGTAATTTATCTTATTTTATTCAATTTTTTTGATTTATTATATGAAATATCTAAAAATTATATTATTTATCATTTAGAAAATTGGTAATCTAGATGATGGAATAGTGCCGATTACTTGGGAGGGCTGTTAATTTGAAATATCAATAATAATAATAATAATTTAAAATCATCTAAAATAATAATCTTAATGTAATTTTATCTTTTGTATATTATATAGATGGATAGACAGATAAATAAAATAATATAATAAGAGAACAATGATTTATTATTTTGTAATGTGAATTTTAGTTGTTATTACAGGCAATTTCCAAATCCGTTACTAATTTTTTAAATTTGTTTTTGTGCAATAGAAATATTTTTAATGAGGGTAAAATACCAAAGTCATAAAAACTTCTTTTGGAATCTGATTCTGATGGTTTTTTTGTTAATTTGAAATTTAATTGGTAATCTGAGTTCTATAGAAAAAGACAACAAATGAAAAAGAAAAATTTAATTAATAAAATTAATTAAATATCATATAATTATATATAATCATTTACTTGTTCAATTATTTCATCTTCTGGATGAAAATAAAAAAAATTTGATTCGGATGATGACTAGAAAAATAAAAAACATTTCATTAAATTAAATATTTTTAATATATGTTAAAATCCCTCTGAATCTAAATATAATATATACCAATTTAGTCTTCTTTCTTTTTCCTATTTGTTGTTCCTCTTCCAATTCTTTATCTGTCATAGATTCAACTTCTTTATAAACTTTTGTTATAATAAGAAACCATTCAAATTCAAATGGTTTATTCTAATGGCAAATAATTGGTTAAAATAAATATTATTATTTCAAGTGTTCATATTAATCTTTTTATTTTACTTACATCTTCAATTGCATCCTCAATTTCTTCTTGAAGCATTTTATACAATGGTGGAATAATTTCCACTGGCATATTTATCAATCTCTCACTTAATATTAATCCAATATTTTTATTCCTATTCCTATTATTATTACTGTTGTTACTGCTGTTATTGACTATTTGATCAAATAGCTCTAATAGTATTTCATTTAATTTTACATCTTTACTAGTTTTTTCTAATAAATAATTTATTAAACTCTTCATGCATTTTTTATTCTAAAAAATAAAACAATTAATAAATTAATAATAGATTATGATAAATTATTTTCAATAACTATAACAATTATTACCTTGTGTTCATTGATATTTAATACAGTTAGAAATGCAAAAGGATCAGAGTCACTTCCATCCACTTTAACAGTTGTGCCTACTGATGGTTGATTTACAATTAATTCTGTTAATTCACTCAACTCAAACAACTCTGAATCTGAAGAAAACAATTGTTTTAACAAAGTTTTTATTGAATGAAAATCACTATCTTTCGGATCAAAAAAATCAAAATCAACATTTATTATTTCTTCTCCCTAATAAATACATTAAATTATTAGATACTGAATATTAATTATAGTGATTATATATAAGGGATCATATTATATAAGAAAAAATCGGTAATTTGTAGTAATTTATTGTAATTGATGATTACTTCTGATATTTCATTATCAGAATTATCAGAATTCTCTTCTTGTTCGTTACCATCCTCCTCCGCTACTTTTTCATCTTCCGTTATATCCATCTGATCCATCTGATCAGGGTTTGTTTCAATAACTGTTTTATCAACTTTGCGTTTACTCATTATTTTTAAATAAAACTTTTTTTTTCAATTTTTATCGTTACACCATTTATTTATTGTTAATCACTGTCTGTCACATGATTCGAAAATATCTCTTCTCGTTATCTATCTGTCTTTGCTTTATTACATGTGTGATTATACACTACATGTATTTCGAAGGTAAATTAATATGAAATTTCCAACTATTAATTCGTGGTCTAATATGTAGATACAACTTTCCAAATACAATCGAATTAAATACAATAAAAATCTTGATGTCACGTGATATCGAAGAAGGTGCAATAATTTTCATAATAGAATTTGGCGCAAATTTTCGCAGATCACTAATTGAAATTTTCCGGAACCCATACTTCATTCCTAAAAAAAATACTATTTATACGAATTTATAAATTGTATTTGCAAATGTAATAAATAGTAAGAAACCCAAAGTTTTAATATACAATTTTCAAATGGACTTTCTTATAAAATATTTTATCTTTATATGGAGGGACCGCTGGATTCTTGCCTAAAATTGCTATATAAAACTTAAGATTCAAGTATAATATTTAATTATTTATTCAAGAAAAAAAATATAAATAAGCGTTTGTAATTAGTTTTATTCAAAAAAAAAGAAATATAAATAGATGTTTGGTTACTTTGAAAAGTTTAAATTTTAAATTTTTATGTCGCGTAATCATGCTTAATCACGTGAGGACGGTCATATTCTAAAAATTCTAAAAATTATTATTATATTGTTTATTATCGCCACAAAATTATACTAACGATCGGCAAAATTTTGCAGTTGTCTCACGGAGCACGAATTAATGATTTTAATGATCAAAGAATTGTTACGCGACCATAAAACAATTATTATTGTTGATATTTTGTTAACGATTTTAAAGAATTGTTTTCGCAACCCATTAAAAAAAAAAGAAACCTTTCAAATGTGCCAATCCTTCATTTTTATTAAAATGTTTGCGTGCAGTGTTATCATAGTAACTTTGAGGCTTAATCACTCCATGGTAACGTGAGATATAAACAAAATGAAATTGTAACTTTGTAGAGAAAGGTCTTACGATTTGATTTTTTTTTGGTTTTACATTTCTATTTTTTTTGGAGAAATTAAAAAAGATCTACACATTCAGTGACTCACCACCAGTGTTGGAAATTCGTCGATCTTATGATCTGCAAAAAAAAATTTGTGCACATATGAACACAAGAAATTTTTATT